GGCCCACCCCCCCCACCCCCGCCCCCCCCCAACTCACGCTCGGCAGTGCTCCAGGAGGACGCCCACCAGCTCGCCCACCCGGTTGTCCCCCGCCGGCTGCGTCTTGTGCAGGCACACGGCCAGGTCCTCCTGGCTCCGGGTGTGGAAGACCACCAGCTGCGCCCGGCAGCTCGTCACGCTCAGCCCCGTCACCTGCGGGGACGTCTGGGTGTCACCGCCCCGGCCACGGCCGCGTGGGGTGCTTGGGGCCACGGCGTGGCCGGCGTGGCATGGCTGAGGCACCACAGCCAATGCACCATGGCCAGCGTGGTGGGGACAGCATGGCATGGCCAGCGTGGTGGGGACAGCGTGGTAGAGACAGCATCACACCTCTGTCCCAGGGGACTTCACCGTGCCAACGCGGATGGCCCCGGTGCGTGGCCACGGGGACCACGGAGGGGTCTCCAACCGCTGGGTGGGAGCGGGGCAGCCAGGACACCTGGGTCCCCCCTGACCCCAGCTCGCCAGGACGGGGGTGGGGAGGGCCCCCTCCCCGACCTTGGGGACACCAGTGGGGCTGGGGACACTCACGGTGCTGAGGGGCAGCGCCCGCATCACCCGGTACTGCTGCCGGGGGTCCAGCTTGTAGAGGTGCTGGTCCGTCACGAGGATGGCCCGGTCCCGGCTCTTACCGAAGCGGTTGATCTGCGGGGACAGGGACAGGTGAGGGGACGCGCCGGGGGTGTGTGTGACACAGATGCGGTGGCCGGGCAGGATGCCCCCCACGCCCCACGCCCCCCCTCACCTTGCGGACGTGGCAGGAGAAGAGGACGGAGCCAAAATGCACCTTGTCCTTGAGGGTCTGGAGGCGGCGGGCGAAAGGCAGCGCCATCTGGCTGGGCTGCGGGGAGCCGCGGCGTTGGGCAGGGCTGGCACCCCGGGGTGGGGGTGGCACCCCCGGGGTGCGCCACGGGGCACCCCCAAACCCGCCGCCAGCCCTTACCGAGGAGAGGTAATCCCGCGCCCAGCTGCGCTGGCAGCCCCAGTCCTTCCGCAGCCCCTCCAGCACCTCCATGGCGGCCACCTTGGCCCGGATCTGCCCCATCTCCGAGGGGGGGATGTTCTTGATGATCTGCCGCGCTCGCCACCTGCGGCGGGAGGGGACACGGCACGGTCACGTCACCGTCCCACGTCCACATCCCACGCCCCCGTCCCACGCATCCCTGTCCCACATCCCCGTCCCACGTCCCTGTCATCACACGTCCCTGTCCCACGCCCCTGCCCCACATTCCAGTCCCATGTCTACATCCCCCACCCCACGTCCCCGTCCCTGTCCGCAGCCCCGTCCCACATTCCCATTCCATGTCCCCGTCCCCATCCCATGTTCCCGTTCCACATCCCCATCCCACATCCCCATTCCACGTCCCCATCCCCATCCCATGTTCCCGTTCCACATCCCCATCCCACGTCCCCATCCCCATCCCATGTTCCTGTTCCACATCCCCGTCCCACATGCACGTCCCCATCCCTGTCCCACATCCACATCCCACATCCATCACCCCCATCCCACGTCCCCGTCCCAACGCGGGAGTGGAGCAGGATTCGGGACAGTACCTGCGGAAGAGGCGCTGGCTGGCGTGGCGCCGGGGACGCGCCCCCCCCCCGCCGGCGGCTCCGGCCAAACCACGCTCTTGCCGAAATCGGGGAGGGTGCGGACGGCCTGGAAGCGGCGCAGCAGCTCCCGCAGGTACGCCTTCACCTTGTGCCGTTTGTAGTAAGCCATGATGGTGTAGGCGGCGCGCAGGTACCGGCGGCGCGGGCGCGCCGGGGCGCCGCGCCAGGCCTGCCGAACGCCGATGGTCAGCGTGGCTGCGGCCCAGGGTGGG